CAAAAGGATGCTGCAAGGGTGCTGAGTGGAGCCCAGTGTCTGGACTGCCCCACCATGACTGTAGTATATAATAAAAAAATATATATATATCTTCCAATGTCTTCTGGAAATTAAGGCAAATGAAGCGAACCTTTTGGGAAACAACCATGTACATTAACTATGCCACGATAAATTGTTTAAATGTTTTTACGCATGTCGCATAGACACAGGCTGAGCAAAACAATTAAAAGCTTCCCTGTTTCAGGTAACAGATTTTTTAATGATATACCGGCAACCGTAAGGGACTTGCCTATTTCAATGTTCAAGGCAGTATTGAAGGGCTTGTTGCTAGACAATCCTTTTTATGACTACCAGGCTTACCAGGTTTGTTGTAGGTAATACTTTTGCACTGCGTTTGCATAGCTATTTTCTTGCCTGTTTTTTTTTTCTTCAGATTTGTTTTTGCATGGTTTGTTTGTTTTACTATTATTATATTTATCTAGCTTGCATTTGTGAGTAAATATAGACTATTTATTATTTATTTTGTATCGTGAGTGACATAGCCTTTTTGCTTTGCTTATTTGTAATATTTAAGTGCATTTGTTACAGTCAAAATGTCAAAATCAATACGCAAATACCAATAAATTCTATGGCTAGTAATTAACCGTTACAAATATTTTTTTTCCTGTTTGAAGTACGAAAATAACGTCAGAATTTAAGTACCAAAGCGGAGTTTCAATTCGATTTTGTGAAAATTACAAATATTTCAGTTAACTTCTAATATTAATTCCAGTTCCTTAACTTCATTTAACATTGTTTAGCTGTATTCATTTCATTTTATGGTATTTACCATTCAAAATATTAATAATTCGTAAAATGAGAAATGTAACAGATAGTGCTTTATACTCATTTCAAATTAAGTTGAATTGACACGATTGGTGAAACTTGTACATTTACAAGTTAGACGTTGACAATATCTACTCACGTCACAGCTAATGGAGTACTTATGTGAACGAGACATCAGAGCTGAAGTACACTTTGCCTCCCAGGTGACAAGCACAACTCAATAATTAGCAACTGCATTGCATCAGTGCAAGTGTGCCGTGCACATTCAACTGAATGTTCTTGATACGCCTTCACATTGGGAAACTAATGGGATAACCAAGTAGGTTCTAGAGTAACACATTAAATTTTAAAGTTATTTTGAAAAAATGCATAAAATGTGTAAAATGAAAAAATTTTGATATCATTTTTCTTTTCAAAGTGATAGTTTATATTTGGGTAAGTAAAACGGCAATTAAAGATTTTTACCACATAATTGAGAAAGGGTGCGTCGCAGAAAACGTTGGCGATACCCATTGATTTTTAAATGGCCTTACAATTCATATAAGAAAGTCTATATTTATATATTTAAATGTGTTCTTTACAAAAATATCTGGTACAATATAATGTATAGTAAATGTTTAGGTATCTGCAAACGTTAAAATATATTTAGCAAAGAAATGCATACATGTAATATACATTTTAAATTATATTACATGAAATTAAAACAACAACACAATTTAAACATACAATTAAAACAGTAACAAGTCAAATTTAACGTAATTATTTGCATTCTATCATATTAATCAAAACATAAACTCATTATGTAATTTATAAATTAATTATTGTTTCCTACTTACTGATGAATTTAGTCAAACTATTCATTCTTTGAATGTTTCGAGCCCATCACGGTCCAACAAAATAATGTGTGAAGGACCAATGTAATAATAATATTATTTCGTGCTCTTTGTGATATTCAGTGTCAGTGTGAAATTAGCAAACGTTTAACAAAGTGTCAATTTTGAATGTACTTTCCTGATGGGTAGTGGCACAGATAATATAACCCCTACTAGTAGGGAAAACTAGTAGGGGTTATATTATTTGTGGTAGTGGTCAAAGCACGTACAGCGTGAATAGTTTTATAATTTGTTTAACTTACAAGGGAATTTTGTTTTGTAAAATGATATTGTACCCTTTTTGGTGGATGTCCTCTTTTCATCTTCTCATGAATTTCAACACGAATCATATAATATACATAATTAGTGATTCTCATAATTGACAAAGTACTCTAGAAACGTCACATTTTCATCAAACATCATTGCATGCTTCAAGTTTTAAAACATCGCAACATTCGAAACAATTTTGTTGTGTAGTTCAATTTTACTGTTTGAGCGGAAATCGTGTTAAGCGGAAATGGAAAGTGCGTTATGAAGAATTCCTTCAAAGCGTTAAATAAAATTCCTTCATAAAGCTCTCATACTTTACTTAATGAATCTTAATACCAGTACTATTAATTGTTCACTTACTTTTACTTGGTAGACCGTTAGAAGGAAACCAGTGTCGAACTATGACTTTGAGCTATGAGTTTTAATCTTTGTTTAATGTAATTTTTATTAATTTTTCAATCATTCTTTAAACCTGCTTGTAAACTCTGTAAATGAACTATGATGTAAAAAAATATTTTAACTTTTAATTGTTAGTTAATTCCTAACCTTTATACTGTATGAGACGAGGCTGTATCATCACCACTTTAGTAGTTGGCGTATCATCAAAGTATACTGGGGATTGTAAAGTTGCTCGACTTAACTTGTCAATGGAAAAGTTTCTCTGACAGTAAAGTCACTTCACTTGTAGTTTTGCTCAATTTCTACTTTTGGTTTCTACTTTCTCCACTTGGTTGAGAACGGTCTTATACATTTAGTACATACATTTGGTAATAGGAACATTTCCATTAATTTACTATCACTATGTTTTTGATGATGAAATGTTATAACACCCACAAATGCTGTTAAAACCAATGGTTAAGTTAGGCGATGCTTGAACCAAGACATGACCTTGATCCTTAGATTGTGTATTGTTACAACTTATTTGGTTGTAGTGAATTAGTGGTAAAGGTCATGGCTATAAAGTAATAGATGTCTATTAGAGAAAGAGGGTTATGTTAAAATGGTTTTAACCAAAGCACGTAGTGTCGAGTTATTTAGATTAATCGTGAACAATTGTTACTCTAAGCCCTACGATATAGTGTTATGTTCACCGTTAGGAGACGCATCCAATCAAAGGGAATTTGCCAAAGTTCAACTATGTACCAACTTGTAATTCATCCACCGAGACCACCTTATCATGAAGCACTTCTGGTTGTCGTTAAAATTAACATTCTCATAGAGTCGTTATATAATCTCCGGCAATCCCGATAATCCTTGCTGAGGTAAATATCAGTTGAAGTTCAATAATAAATACAATATCAAGTTTTACAACTTAGAGAACAAAATGGTATAAAAAAATAAAATGTGAAAACGGGATAAAGGGAAAAATTTTGGGAAAAAGGGAAAGGTAATTAGAGAAAATGGGAAAAAGGGAAAAATAATTTATGAAAACGGGATAAAGGGAAAAGTGTTGGGGAAAAGGGAAAAATAATTTGTTAAAACGGGATAAAGAGAAAATATTTGGGAAAAAGGGAAAAGTAATAAGAGAAAATGGGAAAAAGAGAAAAGTTTTGGGAAAAAGGGAAAAATAATTTGTGAAAACGGGATTGTTAGATAGTTAAATGTATATGTAATTAATACATCAGCTGATTTATTATTATTAAGTTTGTTAGTAAATATTCTGCTTAGGTTGATGTGTTTAAGAATTCAATAAAATGGTTCTTTTATATTTTGAATATCATTTAGTGTAATTCTACATTGGCGGCGATGAGTAAACGAACCAAAAGAAGAAATAGTTATATCAATGAAGAAGATAAGTATGAAACTATAGAAGACGCATTACAATCAAAGATAGAGAAGTTCAAATGTCAAAGCTATGATGAGTCTAGTAGGTGGGATGATTATGAAGCACATTTTCTATTGTTATGCAAGGTAAAAGGATTGGGAGAAGATTCTCAGAGAGCAGAGGATGCTCGAAGGGATCTTTTGCTTGCCTATGTGGGTCCTGCACCATTAAGAAAAGTTTCAAACTTTCTGCTGCCTTTAAAAGTACATCAGGCTACGTGGGCAGAACTAGTTAATGGTTTCAGGTAAGTATACAGAGCTAGTAAAACTATATTTTCAGCTAGAATGGAATTTGAAAAATGTATCAGAGAAAATAGTGAAAGTCTTTCAGAATTTGTAATACGTTTGAAAAATTTAGCAGATTTTTGTAAGTATGAGAACAAGTTTGATGAAAGAATAAGAGATAGATTTGCTGGAGGTATAAATTTTCCAGAGTTTGAAGTAGAAATTAGACAACGATGGCCTGATGGGGTAAAAGAAAATGGTGACAAGTTAACATCTAAAGATGTTTTTGAACTGGCCACTTCAATGGAAAGAGCTCGTCATGAGATATTCAAGAATAATGATAAAGAGTTGGAAGTATCACAAGTAAGAAGAAACAATAAGGAGTTTAAAAGAGAAGTGAAATACAATGAAAAGACAAATCATCCATGTAGTAGATGTGGAACAAAGCATGAATTTGGTAAATGTCCAGCCTATCAACAAAAGTGTTTGAATTGTACAAAAATAGGACATTTTGCTAAGGTATGTCGGCAAAAACGAGTGAATAATTTGCATGAAAAGTCAGAAGATGAAGAATCTGAATCGGACTCACATGACACGAGGATAAACGATGTTAAAAAGGAAAGAAGACATTTTTGTAAAGCACGTATTCATTTAAAGTTAAATAAGGTAGCTACAAACATGGAATTTGACTCTGGAGCTTGGGCCTCAATGATAGGTGCTCTTTGGGAGAAAATTGGTTCACCAAGACTTGATAAGAATAATTCAAAATACGTGGCATATGGAAACAATATTTTAGATATACTTGGTGAATGTTATGTCAATGTTTCAGTAGGTGATGAGACACGTAGATTAAAAGTAGCAGTAGTAAATGGAAATGAGAAACCGCTGTTTGGTTTACCATGGATATTAGCCTTTAATATGAACCTCCCTCCTCATGTTACTATTAGTAAAGTAAAATGTAAGCAGAATCATAATCAATATAAGATGGATGATGTGAGGGTTAAGGAAGTACTAAAAGAATTTGAAGATGTGTTCTCTGAAGAGCATGGGAAAATCAAGGGTTATAAAGCACGAATTCACGTTCGAGAAGATGCAAACCCTCAACATTTTTCAGCGCGCAGGGTTCCGTTTCCCTTGAAAAAACGAATTGAGAATGAACTTACAAGACTTGTAAATGAGGATATCATTGAAGAGGTAGATCCTGCTGCTCCACCTATTCCCTGGGCTACCCCAACAGTTAATGTAGAGAAGAATGATGGTTCAATAAGAATTTGTGGAGATTTCCGAGTCACTTTGAATCAAAATTTGGTTCCAGAAAATGCAATTATTCCGACATTTGAGGAACTAACAAACAAAGTTGCAGGCGGAAAAGAGTTTTCCAAGATAGTCCTACGAGATGCATACCTACAAGTGGAGGTTGCAGAAGAACATCGAAAGTATTTAGTGATAGCAACGCATAGTGGATACTATAAATACAAACGTTTACCTTTTGGGATATCATCTAGTCCAGGTATTTTCCAAAGATATATGGAAAGACTCTTAGCTGGGATACCACAGGTTGGAGTTCTTCTGGACAATATTATAATAACTGGAAGGAATAAGAACGAGCATTTACGAAATTTGAGAGAGGTTTTGAAACGAATGAAAGAAGGAAAAGTGTTGGGAAAAAGGGAAAAATTTTTGGAAAAAGGGAAAAAGTGTTGGAAAGAAGGGAAAAATAATTTGTGAAAACGGGATAGAGGGAAAAGTGTTGGGAAAAAAGGAAAAATTTGGGGAAAAAGGGAAAAATGTTGGGAAAAAAGGAAAAATAATTTGTGAAAACGGGATAAAGGGAAAAGTGTTAGGAAAAAGGGAAAAGTTTTGGGGAAAAGAGAAAACTGTTGGGAAAAAGGGAAAAATAATTTTTGAAAACGGGATAAAGGGAAAATTGTTGGGAAAAAGGGTAAAATAATTTGTAAAAACGGGATAATGGGGAAAAATAAATTTGAAAAAGGGGAAAAAGGAAAAAACAATTTGGGAAAGTGGGGTACAGGGAAAGTGTTGGGAAAAAGGGAAAAATAATTTGTAAAAACGGGATAATGGGGGAAAATAATTTTGAAAAAGGAAAAAGGAAAAAACAATTTGGGAAAACGGGATACAGGGAAAAAGTTTGGGGAAAAGGGAAAATAATTTGTGAAAACGGGATAAAGGGAAAAGTGTTGGAATAAAGGGAAAAATAATTTGTAAAACGGGATAAAGGGAAAAGTGTTGGGAAAAAGGGAAAAATAATTTGTGAAAACGGGATAAAGGGAAAAGTGTTGGGAAAAAGGGGGAAATTTTGGAAAAACGGGATAATGGAGAAAAATAATTTTGAAAAAGAGGAAAAAGGAAAAAACAATTTGGGAAAACGGGATACAGGGAAAAGTGTTGGGAAAAGGGAAAAGTGTTGGGAAAAGGAAAAAATAATTTGTAAAAACGGTATAAAGGGAAAAGTGTTGGGAAAAAGGGAAAAATAATTTGTGAAAACGGGATTAAGGAAAGGTGTTGGGAAAAAGGGAAAAGTGTTGGGAAAAGGAAAAATTTTTGGGAAAAAAGGAAAATTAATTTGTGAAAACGGGATAAAGGGAAAAGTGTTGGGATAAAGGGGAAAATAATTTGAGAAAACGGGATAAAGGGAAAGGTGTTGGGAAAAGGGGGGAAATTTTGGAAAAAAGGGAAAAGTGTTTGGAAAAAGGAATAAATAATTTGAGAAAACGGGATAAAGGGAAAAGTGTTGGGAAAAAGGGAAAAGTTTTTGGGAGAAGGGAAAACTGTTGGGAAAAATAATTTGTGAAAACGGGATAAAGGGAAAAGTGTTGGGAAAAATGGAAACATTTTTGGAAAAAAGGGAAAAGTGTTGGGAAAAGGAAAAAATAATTTGTAAAAACGGGATAAAGGGAAAAATGTTGGGAAAAAGGGAAAACTGTTGGGAAAAAGGGAAAAATCATTTGTAAAATTGGGATAAAGGAAAACATTTTTGGAGAAAAGGGAAAAATAATTTTTAAAAACGGGATAAAGGGAAAATATTTGGGAAAAAGGGAAAAATAATTTGTAAAAACGGGATAATGGGGAAAAATAATTTTGAAAAAGGGAAAAACAATTTGGGAAAACGGGATAAAGGGAAAAGTGTTGGGAAAAAGGGAAAAATAATTTGTGAAAACGGGATTAAGGAAAGGTGTTTGGAAAAAGTGGAAAATTTTCGTAAAAATGGAAAAGTGTTGGAATAAAGGGAAAAATAATTTAGGAAAACGGCATAAAGGAAAACGTGTTGGGAAAAGGGGAAAAGTTTTGGGAAAAAGGGAAAAATTATTTGAGAAAACAGGATAAAGGGAAAAGTGTTTGGAAAAAGGGAAAAGTCATTTGTGAAAACGGGAAAAAGGGAAAAGTGTTGGGAAACAGGGAAAAATAATTTGTGAAAACAGGATAAAGGGAATGGTGTTGGGAAAAAGGGAAAAATGTTTGGAAAAAGGGAAAAGTGTTTGGAAAAAGGAAAAAATAATTTGAGAAAACGGGATCAAGGGGTAAAGTGTTTGGAAAAGAAAAAATGTTGGGAAAAAGGGAAAAATAATTTGAGGTAACGGGATAAAGGGAAAGGTGTTGGGAAAAAGGGAAAAGTTTTGGGGAGAAGGGAAAACTGTTGGGAAAAAGGGAAAAATCGTTTGTAAAAACGGGATAAAGGAAAATATTTTTGGGGAAAAGGGGAAAATAATTTTTGAAAACGGGATAAAGGGAAAATATTTGGGAAAAAGGGAAAAATAATTGGTAAAAACGGGATAATGGGAAAAAATAATTTTGAAAAAGGGGAAAAAATTTGTGAAAACGGGATAAAGGGAAAATTGTTGGGAAAAAGGGAAAAATAATTTGGGGAAAAGGGGAAAAAGGGAAAAGTTTTGGGAAGAAGGGAAAACTGTTGGGAAAAATAATTTGTGAAACTGGGATAAAGGGAAAAGTGTTGGGAAAAAGGGAAACACTTTTAGAAAAAAGGGAAAAGTGTTGGGAAAAGGGAAAAATAATTTGTGAAAACGGGATAAAGGGAAAATTGTTGGGAAAAAGGGAAAAATAATTTGAGAAAACGGGATAAAGGGAAAAGTGTTGGGATAAACAGAAAAGTGTTGGGGAAAAGGGAAAAATTTTCAAAGGAAAAGGTTTGGGAAAAAGGGAAAAATTTTGGGAAAAAGGGAAAAATAATTTGAGAAAATGGGATAAAGGGAAAAGTGTTGGTAAAAAGGGAAAAGTCATTTGTGAAAACGGGAAAAAAGGAAAGATTTTGGGAAAAAGGGAAAAATAATTTGAGAAAACGGGATAAAAGGAAAAGTGTTGGTAAAAAGGGAAAAAATAATTTGTAAAAACGGAATAAAGGGAAATGTGTTGGGAAAAAGGGAAAAGTGTTGGGAAAAAGGGGAAAATAATTTTGGAAAACGGGATAAAGGGAAAATTGTTGGAAAAAAAGGGAAAAGTTTTGGGAAAAAGGGAAAAATAATTTGAAAAATTGGGATAAAGGGAAAAATTTTGGGGAAAAGGGAAAAATATTTTGTAAAAAACGGGATAAAGGGAAAAGTGTTGGGAAAAAGGGAAAAATAATTTAGGAAAACGGGATGAAGGGAAAAGTTTTGGGAAGAAGGAAAAAATAATTTGAGAAAGGGAAAAATTTTTTGGAAAAGGGAAAATTGTTGGGAAAAAGGGAAAAATAATTTGTGAAAACGGGATAAAGGGCAAAGTGTTGGGAAAAAGGGAAAAATAATTTGTGAAAACGGGATAAAGGGAAAAGTGTTGGGAAAAAGGGAAAAATAATTTGTGAAAACGGGATAAAGGGAAAAGTGTTGGGAAAAAGGCAAAAATTTTGGGGAAAAGGGAAAAGTATTGGGAAAAGGGAAAAATAATATGTGAAAACGGGATAAAGGGAAAAGTGTTGGGAAAAAGGGGGAAAAAATAATTTTGAAAAAGGGGAAAAAGGGAAAAACAATTTGGGAAAACGGGATAAAGGGAAAAATAATTTGTAAAAACGGGATAAAGGGAAAAATAATTGGACATTTAAAATGGGATTTAAACATTGATTTGGCTAAATGTCTATGCTTTGGTCATCTATATAAATAAAATTAGAGTTTTGTCTGTACATTGCTCAGAATCATACATTTTTAGGCTATTTTTACGTTTTATACATTAAAGAAGCCGAAACAAGTCTCATCTAAATTTCTGTCTGTCTGTCTGTCTGTCTGTCTGTCTGTCTATCTGTCTGTCTGTCTGACACACTCAAGATGGCATTTTACGCAATCTTCTCCAGGAAAACGAGAGTACCTATCAAGACCCAAGTCATTTTAATGTATTCACTGGATTGGCAAGAGTGTCTTTAGCCATTAAAATATGGTCTCACTACTTTGTAATTAAAATTACGGCCGTTCAAAAATGCAGTTTTGTGCGATTTTTGTCAAGTTTTCTTCCAATTTGTATCACATAATCATCTATGAAACAACGAACAGCTGTTCGGATCAAGATTATTTTTTCTAGCTGTCACTGAAATGTTTACAAATGTTGTTTACAAACACCACAACCATTTCCGATCACGTTTTGAAGGCAAATCCCATCCAAGTGAGATTAAAAACGTTTTTATTACATAAAGGATTTAATTAATCGCAAGTGGAATAATATAGTGTAACCGTAAATTAAATAACTAGGCATCATCCAGGTCAGTAACCAGAAATACAGTATGTGTATAAAATTGTTTTGGAGTTTTGATAACCAGAAAGAAGACATTGAATCAAGATTGAATCAGTGTTGTATACGGCTGGGAAACTTAAATTTACTAATGACCGTCGCCAATAGCTTAGAAACAATGTTCCACTCATTGACGGCTCTTCAATGGCGGTTGTGTAAAGTGTAAAGCAAAAAATTACAACTGCAGTGGGTGATTGTAAAAGAGGTTTACGGATGATGCTGAACTCGATTTTCCAATGTGTCACTTTCTGTTCCTACCATTGACTATATAAAGTCAATAGTTCCTACTCACCGTGTGATGCAATCGCTGGTCCATACAGCCAATAGGCCCATAGCCCTTCTCTTGGGTACGTGTGGTACGTATGCTTACCCAATTATTTATAACAACCCTTTCGACAACAATCCTTGATACCGGTACTTTTCCTTAGAATACACGGCCTACCTAGGTACTTAAGAAATAAAATTATAAACGTCCAAAAACCCAACGTTGTGTGATTTTTGTCATTTCCTTATAATGTTAATATATATACCAGCAACCATTGTTTAGAGAATACGTAATCTATTAAATAACAGAACTTATTTATGTTGTATAAGGTTTTTTTTTTAAACTGACACCGATAAGTTTACATTAAGAGTTGTTTACAAATAAAGCAATTAATGGGAAATAATTTTGATTGCCGATAACTTTTTACGAGAAAATCCAAAACCAAGAGATCAATAACCTTGATTAACGCATATAATTGGTCGGCTGTACTACAGTTCTTAACTGTAAACGTTGGT